CCTCAACAAATGACTAAACCTACTTTAGACAAATATTCTGATTAGACTTCAAACTCAAACGAGTCGAACCCCAATTGATACGCTCACAAATAAAACGAGAATTCTTTGGACTTGAACTTACCATATATAATATTTGCACTATGAAATGATTGCCACAGAGTTTAATAATTGATCTAATTTTACCGGAAAGTACATAACCTCGAAATTAAATTTTAAAGTATAGATATCTATTTCAATTTGATGGGTGAAATTCAGAATGAAGGGGTTTAATTTGTGTTTGAACACTCCGGAAAGAGGGTGGCGTTTATCAATTGTCTGCCTCGTCCCTTCCATGAATTCGTATGCTTTTCTGTGGCAGTTCGCGATAAAAAACCAGCGGCTCTATAGAGTTTGTCTCTTGGAGTTAGACTGTGTATTTCGTACTCTGCTATAGAATAGTAAAGCTCACGTCACGGGCATTGGCTCTCAAGATGACCAGTCTGGCCTCACAACTACTATTGGTGAGTTCTCTGAGGATACTCTTCATGAATGCCACTTTCTGACGTGTTTTTTAACAGTAATATCACATGTCAGCGACCTTTCTAGCGTCCGTTTCTCCATATATTCGAGAGTGACGGTGATAGTAATTCGGTATGGTAACGAGGGCCTGTTCTAGTTTGCCTTCCACTTACTTAAATGTTCCTTACGCAGCAATGATTAAGTCGCCGGTATACAGAACGTGTTCGATATACCCAAGTATTTGTTGGTCGTTTGTGTGTATAGAGTGCGGTATTCTTCTTCTTTAAGTGGCATCTCCGCGACGAAGGTTGGCAATCATCATGGCTATTCTGACCTTCGAGGCAGCTGCTCTGAACAATTGCCTTAAGCTGCAACCAAATCACTCTCTCAGGTTCTTCAACCAGGAAACGCGTTTTCTTCCTACGCTTCTCCTACCTTCTATTTTTCCTTGAATTATGAGTCTTAAGATGTTGTATCTTTTGCCTCTCATCACATGTCCGAGATATTGCAATTTCCTTTGTTTTATTGTATTTTCCATATCCCTCTCTCTGCCTATTCTCCTTAACACTTCTGTATTCGTGACTCTATCTACCCATGGAATCCTTAACAATTTTCAAAATGTCCACATTTCAAACGCATCACGTCGATTTATTGTATTCCGGTTAAAAGTCCATGATTCAGCTCCATAGTAGAGTATACTGTGTACATAGCATTTAATTAACCTTATCCTGAGGGCTAATGACAGGTGATCGCTGCATAAAATCTTTTTCATTTTCACGAAGTTGGCACGTGCTTTTTCAATTCGGACTCTTATTTCTGCAGTATAATCGTTATTTTCTGTGATTATCGTTCCCAAGTGAGTATATCTTTTTACTCTCTCAATCTGCTGGCCGCCTATCGTTAATATTTCGTTTGTATTATTGTTCTTGCTAATTTTCATGAATTTGTTTTTTTTTATGTTAAGAGAGTTAAGTTTTTATGTTATTAATTCTCCACTATATCTTAATATTTTATTCATTATTCTTTCTAAGTCTTCCAAGTTGTCGGCTAATATGACTGTATCGTCGGCATGCCTAATATTGTTAATTAAAATTCCGTTCACTTTTATGCCGACTGTCTCGTTTACCAAATCTTCTTGTATGATTTATTCAGAATAAACATTAAACAATATCGGCGACAGTATGCAACCTTGCCTGACCCCTCTCCTTATCTACACTTCTTCTGACACTTCTCTTCCAATTTTCATATTTGATCGTTGGCTGTAGTATAAATTTGTTATCAATGTTACATCCCTCACATCCAGATTCTCGTTTTTGAATATTTCTATAAGTTGGTCATGTTTTGCCTTATCGAATGCCTTGTTGTAGTCTATAAAGCATACATACAGGTCTCGATTAACATCCAAAAATCTTTTGGTCAACACGTTAAAAGAAAATACTGCCTCTCTTGTATCCACTCCATTCCAAAATCCAAACTGGGAGTCACTAATATCGTATCTTCAGCTTAGCGTGTATTCTAAATGGATGATTTTTAGCAGGGTTTTAAAGATACGTGACATTAGACTGATTGTTCGATAATCACTACATTCTTTGACATTTACTTTCTTTGGTAGACAAATATATGTTGATGTCAGCATATCACGTTGAATGATTCATGTGGAATAGATTGTGTTCAGTAGTTGGACTAAAAGATCTATGTTTTTTTCACTGACCAGTTTTAGCAATTCACTTGGTATTTCATCTGGATCAGCAGCTTTATTATTTTTCATGGACTTTGTTTGGAATAATTCCTCTATATATTCTTTCCTTCTTCCTAATTTTTGTTCCGTCTCCACTAAAACGTTTCCTTGTTTGACAATAGTATGCTTGAGATTTTTTGTTTTGCTACCCCAGCTAATTCTTTAACTTTCTTATGGAGATTGAAGTTAGTTACTATTAAACTGGGAATAAGCCACAATTAAAGATAAAAATATGTTTATTGACGTTTCAATTTCCACTTCGGAAATCGTTCTCAAAATACAAACAGTAAATTAAACAAATTTTGTTTTAAAATTAAATTAAACAAAGAAGCGGCTCTAATTATGCTAAATGAGGCCAATTGTGTCGCAAATTCCTCGGCAGAATGTAGTAGGATCTGGTTACCAATATTGAAAGAGGAAGTTATTAATAAGAAAATACCAGTATTAGTAAGTCAGTAACATATAGAGGATACATCATTTATGTTTTTTAAATAACGTAACATATAAAATCAGAATTTTGATGTTTGTTGAAGGTAAACTAAATTCACGAACAAATACTTACAATGTCGGGATAGTATTATGAGGTTTTTTTCCTGGTTTTCCCTCATAATTTACTATGGAATCACTAACAGGAGAATTTTACTGTCATCATGGCATGTGTTTGTCTTTTTAAAGACGAATTACATGCTATGATTTTTTTCTGACGGATATTCTCAAGTTAAAGTTGATTTCATATAATCGAATGAACTATCTTATAAGTAAAGTCGTCCCAGGAACGCAACTCAACAATATTGGCAATATCATTTTAAAGTCGTCTACTTTAAAATGCATAATGTATGTCTGAATTGTCAATATAAATGAGTCAGATAAAATTAAATTACTAGAAGAATTTTTCACTTTGTAACAAAAAACAAAATTTATTTAATTTACTGTTTGTATTTTGAGAACGATTTCTGAAGTGGAAATTGAAACGTCAATAAACATATTTTTATCTTTAATTGTGGCTTATTCCCAGTTTAATAGTAACTAATTTACAATGCGACAAGAAAATAGCTTCAGAACAATATTGGGATTGAAGTTATCATATTTGTTATGTAATTGTATTTTCCAGCGAAGTAAGTCTCTTTAGCTTGTCTTATTTTCCTTCTTGGGTGGAAATTTTTCTCTTTAAATGGAAATTTTAAATACAATAAAATCAAGAAAATTGGAATACTTCGGACATATTACACGTGGAGAGAAATACACCTTGCTCCAACTAATTATGCAGGGAAAGATACAAGGAAAGAGAAGCATAGGGAGACGTAGAATGTTATGGCTGCGCAACCTGAGAGAGTGGTACGGATGTACATCGAATGAACTTTTCAGAGCAGCCGTCTCAAAAGTCCGAATAGCTATGATGATTGCCGACCTCCGCCGCGGAGATGGCACTTGAAGAAGAAGATTTTCCTTCTTATTTGATTATGCAACTGTTGATACTAAGTTATGTTGATATTCTTTTGCCTTCTTCTGTCCTCCATAATTTCCAAGATTTCTTCTGTTATCCAATCTCCTTTCTTGTATCTGGTTGTTGTGAGTTCTCTGCGGTTCGATAATTGCATTTTTAAAGAATTTCCACCGTTGTTTATGTTGTTTTCCACCACTTTTATAGCATATTTGTATCTTTTTTAATTTAAGTTAGAATTTTGCTACAAGAGGATTGTGGTCCGACGCCACGTCTGCATCTGGGTACGCTTTCGCCGATTGTATTGCGTTTCGGTATCTATGGTTTATTAAAATATATTCAATTTGGTTTCTAACGATTTTATTGACTTTGTCAGCTGGCGATTTCCAAGTGTAAAGGCGTCGTTTAGGCAGTTTGAAGAAAATATTCACTACTGCAAGATTATGTTCTAGGCAGAATTCTAAGTGCGGCATTGGTGCGAGAAAATTAATTTCATTTCATCAAAAAAATAATTTAGGTAAAATTTGCACCATAAATATAGTCCAACATCCTACAACAAGATCACTCATAACGTAGTTAATTAAACTCACATATTTACATACATTTAGAAATAGGAGAATACAACATGTTGCCAGTCAAAAAGTGGCCGCAGATAGTTTTAATTCAATTAATGGTAATTGATTTTTGAACAAAAACTTTATTTCGTTCAATTATTTTTTAAATAAAATACGCTGCTCATGACGTATATTCATGTTTTTTATATCAAGTTAAAGCTTTTTTTTTAATATGACGATATAAGGTTGCCTGAGAACAAAATGGTCGCAAATTAGGGTTGCCAGCTGTTAAAAACGCGAGGTATCAAAGACTGTCTCTTCTTACAACAAATGATTATTGGACTATTTAAGTAGCAATATCCATAACTAAGGTGTTGGTATTACTATCTGGTGTTACTGGTTACTCCGGTTTCATTTTCTTTTGCAAACTCGTTATAACACATCTGGCAATATTAAATTAAACTTTTCTTCGAAGAGAATTTTTTACGATCGTGATATTTTTTTGTAAATCTTATTCTTAATCAACATTGTTAACAGTTTCTTTAATAAAAAAATGTATAAAGCCTTCGATGTGTAAGCTGAAACGAAGATTCTATTTTATAATTGTTAAAATGTTTCTAAGACCAACAATAACTATTTTATGAATGGCAGATTAAAATCTAAGCTGTTTTGGGACTATATTTTTGTGGAAATGTTAATCTGTGTTTCATATTTACCTCATTCTCTTAGAAAATCTGTTAAATTAACAATACTAATTTGTTTTGAACAGCTCAGAAATTACATCAAAGTTTGGACGCTGTTAACAGCACAGGTATGACACTTACAATAAATACTCTTAAATATTCCCCTTGGTTTGCTCATTTCCATAATCTCTTTTTTGAAATACGCAGATATGTAGTATATTTTGTTTAAATTTCTATATATCGCTTTCTATTAGTATTTGATTGATTGTGATTAAAGCCAAAAAGTATGTTTTCCGTATATACAAAAAATATATACATTTTTTGATATAGATAAATTATATCGCCATAATTGAATGTAATTCTTTTTGGTTTTTCACCACTTTTATATAAAGTGGCTCTGTATAATAGAGTACAGAGTAATCCTTTATTCTTTATATAATTATATTACGATTTAGATTCATTTATGTACTGTTCTCTTCATTAAATAGTTTTAGGTATCCAAGATATCCAGGGATTGGGTGCCAGAAAAGAAAAACTTTTGTATTTTTATCGATTTCTTGTTATAAAACCTCATAAATTGAAAAAAGTTTTTTAAAATCTGCTTCTTTTTATAGTTTATTTCATGTAAATCCCTATGAATTTGTGCACTATGAAAGTTCGGAAATATAATAATAATCCAGTGAATGACGATAGTGTATGTTGTATCTATTCCGCGAAATGAATAAAAAAATTATTTAAAGATTCCCTGAAACAGGATCTGTTGAAAACAAAACAAATCGAAATAAAGGTATAATAAGGGCGATGATCAGATAGTGCCCTAACTATGTGTACAGTTAAGGAAAATCTTAAGTTTACTTAACGAAAGAGTGAAGCGGAAGTTGGTTTTAGCAACAGCCACTTACAGAAAATACTAGATGGTCAAATTATTAGAGCCACCCCATAAAATTTTACTTTTTGTTTAAAAATGGTATGTAATTATGCTATAAATCATATTTGTGTGCTTAATTCTATTTTACTGTGGTTTAGAATCTTATAAAGTTTATAAATATTAAAAAAAGCTAGTAATTAGAATGTGGAAACACTTACAATTATGCTTTAAGCCTAATACTTGGTAGTGTCATCCTTTGCAGGAGTGACTACCTGGCACCTTCTTGGCATACTTTCTATGTATATTTGGCAATTTTGTGGAATTGTTCCACTCCTGTGCCATTCTACTATTAAGCGCTCGATTAATTGACGCTTTGTAGTTATAATTTTATTAGAAATTTCTTGTTCATGAGCTTTCAAAAAATTTTTATTGCATTTAGATCTGGCGAGTTGCCAGGGCAGCTGTCTGGTTGTTAGCAAGGAATTTTGTAACAGTTTTTTCCTTGTGACACGACGTCGAGTCATGCATAAACGTAAAACTCTTATTCAGAAACCACTCCTGGGCCTGGGAAAGCATTTTTGCTTGCAGTACTCTTAGGTTTGTTCCAACACAACGAAAAACCGTCACGAAACGGTTACGCTCATGCGCACTAAACAAAATACGTTCCAACAAAAATATGATCGTTCATCTCATCGTCCTTCCGACCGTTCCAACAAAAATTGTGATTGCCCAGTGACGGTTTCGTGACGATAATTTCAGTAACCTGGCAAATGCATATACTGGTTGGGATGACTTGCGCACTAGTATTTTATTCTACTTCTTTAAATTTGTTGAGCCTAGATTAACTTTAATTTTATATTAAAGATAAGATTTTATATTAAAACTGTAAATTTGTTCAGGAAAAAGAAAAAGTTAGATTAATGATTTTATCAGGTGCATATGATAGACTCGTTATTTATTTATATATTTGTTTTTCGTTATTTATAACTTTATAAATATGACTGACGACGAAGGAATTAGGGATTCTGATTATTATAGTAGTGATGATAATTTGGAGCTATTAGCCGAACCTAGGGTGAAAAACCAGAATTATTTAGGTAGATCGTCACCAAATTATGTCAGTTGTCAGAAAATCGTTCCAACATCAGTTTCCAAATTACAGTCGTCAGACGATACAAATGATGAACATGCGCATTAAAAACGGTACAGGTAGTTTCGTGACGGTTTCTGGACCGTACAAAAATTGCGTGTTGGAACAAACTTCTTAAGTACCAGTCCTGCCGCATTATTCCTTCGACTATGTAGAGTCTATTAGTTCATTGACTGCTTATGATACACCACACCATGATCTTTAGAGAGTGCTTTACCGTCGATACAATATTTATCTTGTTCCACGGGTCTTCCCCTTACAAATTCAGCTCTATCCATGAGGATCTGCCCGGTTGATTTGTCCGAAAAACAAACCTGGAATATTATTATTATTTTAGAATTATGGACAAATTGATTAACTGTAAACTACATAATAGAAAAACAATGTTAAGCAATGTTATTTACCTGATTCGAATCAACAATGCTCCAATCTTTGTGATCTTTAGCCCACTGAACCCTTATTTTCTTCATGGCTGGTGTGAGTAGCAGCTTTTTTGCAGGGCGACAGGTTGAAAACACCAGATCCTTTATTCGCCGATGAGCTGTCATTGGTAAAATACTGGTGCCAGATTCATGCATTATTTTCGTTCAAAACCTTCAAGGTTTTTTGTGTGTCAAGACAATATCTCGAATTTTTCGTCCATCTCGTAGCATTGTCATTTTTTTTTTCGACCATATTTTTGTTTGTGCCGAAATTTTAGAAATTGATGCTATTTTTCTGTTGGAGTGATTATTGTTCAATAATAGAGATTTTATTTCCACTATTTTCCTTAGTGAGATGTTTTTGGCTTGTCCCATGATGTTCTGGTACCACTGGTTGTAACAAACATGCAATGTGTGCTAAATACATAAAAAATAATATACGACTGTCAGGATATCACTAGAGAGCAGTGTAAACTATTGTAACTCTAAACACCAAGAATATAAAACAATATGCACACGAGTTGCAAATTAGGCTGGACAGCATTAACAAACAATGGCATCTGAGTCACGAATTGCCATCCCCGCTGTGTTGCCACTGTGGTCAGATTATTTATTGTACTTTCATAAAGTGTTACAAGGTAATAAAATGGAAACAAACGCATTAATATACTATACAACTCAATTATATACCTTTGTTGTAAAAAAAATTAAATATTGCTAGGTGGATCTAATAATTTAATCATCCACTGTATTCAATAAGATTGTGATTATGACACGAAGCTCTACTTTTGTACAATAATTGGGAATGATTGTACAACTTTCACTACAATATTTTGTTTTCTGATGCGATGAAACAACGTTTATGGCAAATGGAATCGTTTCATTCCAAAACTATGGGTATTGGGCTAATGAGAGTACTTATTACAGGATTTAACATAATACGAGTAGTTAATTTAATAAATAGTCTAGTCATCAGTGATTTGACCACTAAAAATCATACGAACAAGCTGAATTTTGCCGAGAATATAATTTTGGGACCCCAAAAAGATGCAAAAAAGTTTACCACTTTAACCCCAAGGTTTTCCCCTAAAACCCCTTCGTAGGGGGTTTATATTATTACTTTACCATGAATTCTTCAATATCTGTAAATTTTTGGGCACCATAAATGTTGGATTTTAGATGCCCCAGATAAAATAATCGGTTGGAGCTAGATCTCCCGATCTCGGTGGTGACAGTTAGGTCAAATCAAATAATTATTAAAACTGTTTTTAGGGAATTATTTGACATTCCTGCTATTGTAGACACGGCGCTTATCTGAAACCAAATTTCTTCTTCATCTGGAGCTGCTTCTATAAGTCTCGGTAAAATAGTCCAAAAACTTTTCTGAATTTAAATTTTCCTCATAGAAAAATCAATTTATAAATCTTATTGGATGGACATACAACATTGGGGTTGTTAAATTTCGGCTTGGTTGTGACCTTATGAGGTTGTTCTGAGCTGCTTAGATAATTTCTTGTTACGTGTCATATTTTCGTAATCATGTGTGTTATATTTAAAGATCACGTAGTGAAAGAATTAGGTACATATCAAAGTGAAAGAGTTAGGTACATACCAAAATACATTTGTAATGATGCAAATGATTTTGATTGGGTAATCTTCTAGATATCTATATTGGCACGTTATTTTACCGTAAATTTTCTTTTTTAAAAATTTACAATACTAAATCGTAATATTTTGATATAAAGATTTCGTGGTTATTCTAGGATTTATTGTTATCGAACCACTTTATATATATAACAATTTCAGGATTTTGCGGGATATTGTGTAGTTATTTTGGATAATTAGAACTTACTTTGTATTTCATCGAAAATTTCAACAAACAATAACAAACACTAAACATATAATACTATTTTCTTAATTTTCGATTTAAACCTGTTTTTATTAATCATAATCTGCTTGGCTATAGCAAGTTCTATATGGGGATCCTTTTGACGTTTCTACAATTGGTTGATTTATGACACATCATCTCTAGATTTGGAAAAAAAGAACATTAGTAAAGTAAACTGTCACGTCTTAATTGGATCTTGGTCTTAATTGTTCAAAATAACAAATACTTATGAGACACAAGAGTTCAGTAAATAATTATATATATATATATTATATATATATATATATATATATATATATATTATATATATATATATATATATAGTCGAATTACTGCCTCTAGTAAAATTGTTAACGAACTACATACCTATTGTAGAAACCTTACTTTCTGCTGAGCATGAGTAAAGCCACGTTGGTACTTTTATTACATTTACTCATCTGTCCGGAAAACACCGTGCGACTGGTGTGACCAGTATGAATACCGGAGATGCATCAAACCCTTCGGTTCTTTTCGAAGAGCTGCTTAGAGTTTGGTACATCTCTGCGATCTCCTTACACTCCCTTTTTCCCAAATCTCAAAATTGCTTTTTGCTGTGGTGCAAACATTTTCTACGTAATATGCTTCGACATTCAAAATTGTAAACGGTCATTTCTGGTTTAAATTGTGATAAAGAGATAACTGGATATAATTTATTGGAATTTCGTTTTCTTCAACTTCTCTCCTTTCTTCTTCCAGAGCTATTTGGACGTATATATTAAAAAGTACTGGTGATAATATACTGCCTTGACGTATCCCTTAAC